CCCAAAACACTGCCTTGGGGCACGCCACTCCTGACCTTCCTCCAGCTAGATCGTGTTCCTTTAATGCATACCCGTTGCTCACGGTTTGTTAGAAAAGATCGAATCCAGTGTGCTAGTGGGCCCTCAATGCCAGCTGCCCAGAGCTTCGCTAGAAGATGGTCGTGCGGCACCGAGTCAAATGCTTTGGCACAGTCTAAGTACACGGAGTCAACGCTGTCTCCATCATCCATCGCATTCTCTAGCTCACACAGATACTCCAAGAGCTGTGTTAAACACGACATCCCAGATCGGAAGCCATGCTGATGGATGCTGAGGAGACCAGACTCTTCAAGATGGCTGATTAGGCGGGTCCTGATTAGTCGTTCTAGTGTTTTACAAGCAACAGATGTCAGGCTTATAGGTCTGTAATTGAGTGGGTCGCTCCGACTGCCCTTCTTATAAATTGGTGTCACGTTTGCCCTTGTCCAGTCCCTCGGTACGCGTCCTTGTTGCAGTGATGCTTGAAAAACAGTTGTCAAAGGTGTACTCAGACTGGTCGCACAGTGCATTAGCACAACCGGGTGCACTCCGTCAGGACCTGGAGCTGACGGCTTCAGACTACGCAGTGTCTTCTCCACTTCATCCCTGGTTATTTCCACCTGTGTCAGTTTTTCACCCTGGAAACCTGTTAGAACTGACCAGGGGGGAGAGACAGCGGTTCTTGTAAATACCTTCTCAAACTCTTCATTTATCACTTCACATGCCTCTTCTAACGTCTTTGTGTCGGCCCCATTCTTGTTTTTAACAGACAAAACTTGTTCTTTAATTGAGGTTTTACTTCTAGCATAAGCATAAAATGCCTTGGGGTTCGTCTTGGCTTCCTTGGCAAGCTTGGTTTCAAACAGGTACTTTGCCTCCCTCACACTCTTTGTTGCCTTGTTCCTTATCTTCTTGTACTGGTTCAGGTGGGTCTTGCTTTTTGATTTTCTGTATCTGTCCCAAGCATGCTCCTTCCTCTGTATGTCCTCCATTACCTTCCGAGTCATCCATTTCTTCTTCCTGTGCTTTCTGTTTGGGCTATTCATGTGGGTTGGAACACAGTGATCAACAACAGGTATGCTCATTGCTCAGGTCACATTTTTATGGACACTTGGCAAATTAAAAAACTAACAACCTAATCTAAGCTAACCCGACTAAACCTACACAACTGCTGACTATAGGAACTAAGCACCTACCTACTTGTGCCTACATCTCATAACATGTCAAAGTAGAGTTCCTTGGTGAAAGATTACCCTCAGTACTTTTTATCCCAGCCTTGTGAAGAAAACTAATGCTTCTAAGCTCTGAGTCACTGCTGGCCATCCACAGCAAGAAATGCTGAGACTGAGAGCTTTGCCATTGTATATTGGACCAACAATCACTATCACGAATGACTATGAACACATTCAATGATCACATCGTTGCATGGATTATCACATTGACAATTTTATAACAATCCTTTTTTCAAGAAATACAGCAATGATTAACATCAAAATCAACATAAAGTGGATTTAGTGATCCAAGCTTTCTCCTCCAGTAGCAATGGAATGATCGCATGTTTCATTTGCCAGACACTGAGTACCTGATGCTGGTGATGCACATTACAATCTGCATAGCATCTAAGCATAGTAAAGCTGCCAAAGTCCATTCATTCTAGATTTTTAACTTGATTGTTAGCACTAATTTATCTTGCTGTTGTAAGTTATCATTCAATATTCATACCAATACATCAATATGCGCTCGTCAGTCAACATTTTCTGGCATGATCCTGCTCAGCCCGCTCTTCAGTATTGCTCAAAGATCTGCAATATTATAGCTTGTTTTCGGCCAATAAGCTCTTTTAATTTTACTTTTTCTTGCTGATATATCAGCCCGATCAACTTGTGTTTATCAACCAAAATTTCATAACTTCAAGTTCAACTTGATGTTGATATTGCTCAGGAGTCAGGACCTCTGTCAGCCTCCTGGATGCTTCGGATTGTTTTCAGTCACATGCTTCTTAAATATGATATAAGTCAACAAAACGACGTACAAGAGTACGGAAACCACCAGATAAACTTAAAAACGCCCTGGAACAGAGCCAAGTGGTGTGCTCCATTTGTTTGTTTACAATGATTGTAGTGCTGATGTATTTTTAGGACTCTGAAGGTCGGCTTATAAAAAAAATTAAACGTTTTTACAAAAGTTGTAGGGCAAGTAATATTTATCTGAAAGAACTAAAATATCCAAAAGCCAAACACTACGAAATACATGAATCAGAGCGAAAAAGTAACCCAAAAATCCAGCCTAATCATCGGCTCCTAAAACTGCAACAAAATCAGCACTTTTCCCCGCAACTCGTTGTCCAGACGTAAATATGCGAGCGGGGCGGGCCGGCACTGATGGTCAGCTGATGGGCGTGATGGGGGAGGGGAGGGGAAGTGGTGGGGTCAGGCAGCGCAGTGGGCGGCGCCCCGCGGCAAATCGCAGCGGTCACTGGTAATCAAAGAGTGGATAGAGTAGTGTGGTAATGACTGTCCCGGCGATAGTGGCGGCTGCTCTGCAAGACCCAGGTGATCTTATTTCTGGGGCAGGATGAATAAACGTTGCTTGTCTGTTATGTTACGTCGGTGGAGCGTCAAAGCTCACCCGTCAAATGAGACTTGCTCTTCTACCTGAACGTATTGCTGCTAGACCAAAATTACTCGTTTGTGTTACGAGTTTTAGCCCCATCTCTCTTATCAGCCTTGAGCGCCGATATTAGCTGGTGTGCCGTGCTCTCTATATGCCATGTGTCAACAGTGTCAGACGGTAGTTCCCCGTTCCCTCGTACCTATGCAACAGTTGCGCCGATTGCAACCGCCGCTGCGGTCGGATATGTGAGCTATACGTTGCCACTAATCGACCAACGTGACTACCGCCCACCGTTACTAAAATACCCGCATTCCACGTATCATTTTACCGAATGAACCTTGCTGAAGTAATGTTCATGACTGATGGAATCATTCCGGATTTCCAGATTCGTCGTAGGCCTATTGCCTAATGCCCTTATTGCTAGTATCCGCCATCTCAAGTTAGGACGTAAAATAACTGCGAATAGCCATAGGCTGTGGCCTGTGCTGACCAACATAGAAGCATCGCACAAGTGCACTTTGAGCTGCCTCTCTGAGATACCCAAGCAAGCTTTGTCTCAGCGAATTCTTATTCAGTGCTCTGTGCATTGTGCAATATGCAATATGCAACAGGTCAACAGGCACGAACTGGCAGTATGCGGCTCGCCTTACCATGACTCTGTATCTCTGGCATTCCTGCGCCCTGCAGTCTATGATACGTCATGCGGAACCACTGGACCATAACCCTGGTAAAAACACAGCCCACCGCGCCGGGTGGCTGACTATGCCGGCACTTCCCACATCACTCCCGTCACCTGAGGCTTGCACTCGGCCTGCGTGCCGTCCGGCGTCTATTGCCGCGCCGGTTGGGGAGGGAGAGGAGGGGAGGGAGTTCCGCTGTAACTCCGGTGTAGCTCGGTCGCTCGCCCGCCGCGGGCTATCGGTATGCGTGGAATGTGGTTCCGCCGCGCCGCCGTAGTCGGGCCGCGGGTAGTGTGGATGACCGCGCCGCAGACTGACTCGAGGCGCAGGCAGTTCCGGTGCTCACAGCTAAGCTGCCGTTGTCAGGTGTTTCATTTCTAGTGAGGATGGCACTGAGATAATCATTTTTATTTGTCCCCGGAGGCCAGTATTCTGTTTGTGGATGATAACAGACCTAATGGGGAAACTGCATTTGACAGTCTGCTGACATCGCTTATCGGTTTCTTTACGTCAATAGCGTTTACCATGTTGATGCTGGATTTTGATATTGTGCATCGGACTTTCCCTCGACTCACCTCACCGGATGGTGTTCTGTTCAGTCTGTAGTCTGTATCCGACCGCAGCCGGCGGATGTGGGGTAACGGTTGGGGTGGGACCCCGGGTCGCCGGGCTCTGCAATTTCTGCAGACTGTGGGGTTTCCTTGTGGTCTGACAGAGGAGGTCTAATCACTCCTCTTCCAGACCCAGCTGTCTTGACGACCCGTAATGCAGCTCTGCTCACTGCTCAGTCCAGGTGCCCGGTATAGTTGGGTTAGACTTCTATATCCACTCCTTGCTGTCTGGGACGGTTGGGTCAGCAAAGCGCCCCCATGTCAAGGTTTCAGACCCCGTCGCTCATGCTGCTCCAGATTCCTCCATGGATGTTGAAAAGAACGTCGGGCGTTCACGTGTCGAATGGCTAAAATTGGCCTGTTGTGATAGCACGTCTAGTTGGCTGTGGTCGATACCTGATAACGAGGGCGTTCAATGGTAGGCGGAACATCGCCATTTCGTCCGTATTGTGACGGAGAAGGTCGCTGCGCGGGGCGCACTTTGATGGCTTGTGTCATAATCGGCCCTCAGCGGGTCAGGCGCGGCGAATTTCCTATCGCACCGGCCGGTAGAGGACCTTAGTAGTGGCCAGATTAGTGTCATGGGGCTAATGTGATCAGATGGGCGTATTTCAGCTTGGGTATCGCAGACTGCACTGCGGGATAAAATCACTTACCGAGCGCCAGTATAACGAGACCCTCCTGCGGTGACAAGGTCATGGCGGCAGTCGAGGAATTGGGTCACCATCTGAACATCATAGATCGGCCAGGAAGCATTGTCGTAGGCGGTGGTGCTGGTGCGGCTCGCCAAGGTTATTGAGAGAAGTGTGGCCTTGAATCGAGGCCCGCTAATGTGACCAATGTAGCAAGGAGATTGTTACTTTGGATAGTGTTTCGATTGAAGTGTGCGTCAGTTTTCAAAGTGTTTGGCTACCTGGTTAGCGAACGGCACCGGAGCGACGGCCAGCTGGCAGTCTTCGCCGGATCTACCCGTCTCGACCGTCCCCCTGGTCTACCCTTGTCTCTACCAACCGTCCCCTTTTGTTTCCGACTGACCGCTCCTTATGCCACTACTAACCTTCCTCTTCTCTCTCCCCAGGAGAGAAGTCGCCGCTTGTGGCACGCACCAGCTCCGATGCGGCGGCAACGGCGGCCCAGCCCCGCCGCTCGCGCGAGGAGCTGCGCCAGCTCTGGAAGAAGGCCATCAACCAGCAGGTGCTGCTCAACAGGATGGAGCGAGAGAACGAGCGCATCACAGGTCAGTGGAGGTCGCGGCTCTGCGCTCCGGCAGGTTCTGTACTTATTAAAGTGTGGCTGGATGAGTTTTGGATGGTGTCTGATCAACTGACGGCTTCAGCACGAAATGGTTTGTCATTTGTTGGTGTCTGTGTGAGTTTTGTCTCAAATGATAGTTGAACACTCACTCGCTCACTCACCAACTCACTCGCTTGCTTATACATTTATATCTCTAAGTATGTCACTGTTTCTCTGCTAGTGACCTCATCTCAATTCACTATCAATAAGGCGAACAAACCGTTCCGTGCCGGAATCTCAGTTGCGCTTTTCTGGTGTACTGTTTGTCTGACAAATCAGACGTCACAATTGCGGCGCAGGAGAATGGCACGAGCACACCAGCAGCAATGAGGCCGTCATGTGCGCGGTGTCTGTCTATTCGTGGCGTGCGCGATGCGATCTTTCCGCTGTCTTGGTCTGCCGGGCCGCCGGACGAAGGTCACCCGGCAAAGGAAGCTCACTGGCGTGACGCCGCTGCATCATAGCGCGAACTGCACGCTTCGCTGAGGACATACCTGTGGATCCGGCCGAGCAAAGTAGGCTCGTGTGGAGCTCAGCCGGGCTGTCGAACAAAGTGAATGGCGCCGCTTTTGGCTGATGATTTCATGCCATTTACCTGAAGGAGCCCGTGCCGAAACGTCAATTGTAAGACGCGGAAGCTCAGAAGGAATCAGTGTGTGTTCCTATTCCGGTTCATAATCATGCTATCTCATATCTAAGCGTTGGTGTGCAGTTAGTTGCACGGTGCTGACTGCTGGACTCAACTGAAATGAGATTCTGACAGCCCGGCTGCCTGGCACGACCCGGTACAGCTACTCTCAGTTGCGCTGCGTGCGACGTGCGTGCTCTCATATTTCGTGCGTGCTCGGTCACCGGTACATACGTGTGGGGAGGGTTAAACGGCTGGGTCAGCGTCGCTGCTGTAAGTGCGAGGGCACACTGGCTCCGTCGAGACTGTTGCTACGTGTTTTCTGCGTGAGGCCAGTGTATGTGTTTGTTGTGTGAGAACTGGGAGTCACACAGGCTCCGTCAGCACTGTTACTGCGTGTTGCCTGCGAACGATGTGTCTTGGTTGTCTCAGGTCTGAGTGACACACCCAGGCCGACCTTACCGCTAACCCTCCACCGTCAGAGCGTGTGCGGAGCGGGGAGCGTGTCATGTACGCCGAGATGCCGCCCTGCGCCGGGGACGTCAAATCCGAGTGGAGGCAGCTGCTGGACAGCTGGCGCGCCGGCAGAAAGGTCCACGTCGACGACCTCCAGGAGCTCGTCTTCAGAGGTGCGTGGCCGGCGGTATCGGGCAGAATCGGGGTGTGTAGGGATGGATGGGAGAGGGCTTTTAGTCATTGATTGACTCACGATTTCAAACTGGGAAGTCGAATTCAGCGTAGTTCATTTGCGTCTATGTTTGCTATATTTCGGACGAGGGGATCGCTAGGCAAGTTGTTAAGCGTTACTGCTCGAGCTCCCATTGCATAGAAGTTAATGGTTGTTTCAGACGAGAAGACTTTCTTGTGGCGCTATTTTCAATTTGCTTGACATGATTGTCCGTGTCTGTGAGCCTTCGTCTCATGTCCGTGAGCTGTCGACCCGTATCCGTGACCGTGATCTACCCTCGTGTGTCCGTGTTAGTAACCCGGTCCCCTGTGTCTATACAGGCGTTCCGATCCGTCTGCGTCCGGAGGTGTGGCAGCTGCTGGTGTTTCACCACCGGCTCCACCACCCGGCGCCGTCCGTCAGCCACGTGGACAACTACGACACCTCGTACCTGCAGCTCATCCGGCAGCTGACCAGCTTCCAGCGAGAGATTCTCACAGACCTCGGTACGTACGGCGCGGCAAGATCCTCACCGACGTCGGTATGTTTGGGGCGAAGCGTAGGCAGATGGGTGGGAGGATGTTTGTAACTAAGGGGGCTGGTGTTGTGACATGTGATCACTTGATCTGTGATATCTGGTATGGGCGCCAGTGTTGCCCTCTGCGGTGTTGACCAGGCCCGTGGCTTCGACGGAGGTTGAGGTCCGCCTTCACTCTCGTTGGTCTATCGCGCCAGTGTCGCCCTCTGCAGTGCTTGCCAGAGCGGTCACCTCGACCAAGGTCCATCCGCACCCTGTTCCCTCCGTCTCTCTGTGTGCCTCACACCCCTATCCCCATCTGCTGTCCGGCTCCTTCCGCGCCACTGCTGATGGAGTGCTTCCCCTCCGCCCTCCCGTCATCTTCCTTCAATACTGCCGCCGGCAAATGACTGTCCGACCCTGTATGTTACCGCTGACAGGCCCTCCCCCGTCCCTCTGCCCCCACCACTGACAAAGATCTTCCCTCCCATGCGTCGCCGCAGGTCGCACGTTCCCGCAGCACCCCTACTTCCGGAGTCCGTTCGGCTCTGGTCAGCTGGAGCTGTTTAACGTGCTGAAGGCGGTCTCCCTGCTGGACCCCGAGCTCGGCTACTGTCAGGGACTCGGCTTCATCGCCGGCATACTGCTGCTTCATGTGAGTTCTGAGACCGTATTGATCGTGACGTTATCTCCATATGCATGACCTCTATGCATGTAGTGGTCCATGATCGTGAATATATGTATGCTAGTTGTTTACTTTACGCAGTCACACTTCTTGATGAATCTTGCCTACACTGAGCCCTCATCGACTTGGCTACGACTTTGGGCAGGATTGAAGACGTTTCAACTTTCAGAATATCTTCGTGGTGTCATTTGACGAACCCATGTCCTAGTTAATTGTCACGCCATGTCTGTATTTCTTGAGCACGTCTTCGATGACGATTCGCTCACGCCCTTGCCGTTTTCATGTTACAGGCGCCGGAGGAGGAGTCTTATGAGCTGCTGAAGCACATGCTGTTCCCCCTGGAGCTGCGGAAGCAGTTCATGCCGGACATGTCTCCGCTGCAGATTCAGATGTACCAATTTTCGCGACTGGTACACGACCATCACAGGTAGGAGGGGCGGACATACAGGTGTGGGAAGTCTTACGAGGTCCACCGTTTTGTGCGTGTGTGTGTGGGAGGGGGTGGGGGGGGCTTGTGGGCGCCAATTGCGTGGATGGTTGTGAAGAGATCTCTAAACGGCGCACCATTTAAAGTGGAGCTACATATGAGCGCTGCTGCAGTTTGCCTTCCCCATATTTCACCTAACCCCGCTCTCCCACATATTTTTTACGTGAAAGGTATAACGGGTACGATTAGTTCGGCCTGCATTACATGGCACCCGCCGCCTCTTTCAGTACCCTAGTGCCACCGCCAGTGAGCTAGCTGCCCCTCGCGCCGCCACCAGTGACCTGACCGTCTCCTCGTCCGTTTTACAGTGATCTGTACGCCCACCTGGAGAAGTACGAGGTGTCTCCGATGTTATACGCCACGCCCTGGTTCCTCACGCTCTTCTCGTCCCAGTACCCGATCGGGTTCTCTGCCCGCGTCTTTGGTAAGTCGCTGGCGGGGATGGCTGGTCAGGAAGGGACCGCTTTTCGGAAGGTATTGGGATCTTCTTAACTAGAGCATGCATCGCACCTATCTCGTTCCCGGACTATATTTTCAATAAGCAGTGTCCGTTTTTGTTTTAGGATACTAGCAGCGTAGCCTTGCTATAATAGCAGATTAGATAAATCATAAAATAATACGTACGGGAGCCGAGTACTTTCATCCTTGGCTTATGTACATATAATCTGTCTCGTTTTATTAAATATGATTATCGTCTACGATACATACATCTGTTGATAATGGATTGGTTGCAGCTTGATAACCATGTTCATTGATTAGTTTTGCGGAAAGTGGAGGTTTGCGAATGTCAGTGTTGTGTGCTATCTGCTAACCACTGCGTCGCGTTTGGTCTCTGTCAGACCTGATCCTGCTGCTGGGCCTGGAGGCGGTGTTCAAGGTGTCGCTGGCGCTGCTGGACATCCACCAGGAGCAGCTGAAGAACCTCACCGGCATGGAGGACATCATGGAGTACATCAAGACGGAGATGCCGCGCCTCAGCCAGACCAGCGCCCAGCAGGTCTTCAGAAAGGTACAGAGACATTATATAGCCGCGTAATCACAATTACCGGTGAGAAAGACAATGCAGTGAAAATTCACCGTCGCGGTGCATAATTGAATTGGGTGTTTTAATGGAGCCATTATTTTAGAAAATTAGAGTTTCGTCGCGGTGCTCAGGCTAGCTAATCGCCAGCCACGTGGATGTAATCGATGCACCCTCTACATACATATGTATAATCGTAAGCATCTAGCACCAGCACCGAACTGGCTCATGTTGATTATGTGTCGATGTCACCTGACTGTCTCCCACCTCAGAGGCTGACCCCTTCTGTCTCCCTGTGAACCCCGTCCCGGCCAGGCGGTGGAGCTGGACATTAGCCGTCAGCTGCTCTCCTACGAGGTCGAGTACCACGTCCTGCAGGAGGAGGTGCTCGCCTCGCCCTCACACGCCGACAGCGACCTCAACAAGCTGGGCGCGATGAACCAGAACCTGAAACGGCAGGTTATGGAGCTGCTACATCAGCTGCAGACCTCCAGCGATCAAATCAAAACGTGAGACGAAACGTCGGCTCGACACCACATGAGCAATGTGCATGCATTTATATACATATGCAGTGCCAAACTGCCAATTACTCATTTATCGTAATTGCAACAGTGTCTGTGTAACAGTATCTGCCAGTTGGTAGTGCCACGAAGTGATATGGCATGTGAATATTATGTCAGCATGACGTCAGTTAGTTTGTGAACAACGGTCTGAAATCAGGCGAAGTTTCTGTAATGTAAAATATGTTGATAACTGACTGACCTCACCAGTGTGTGACCCATGGTCTCCCGCTTTCCGACAGTCTGACCGAGCGGAACAAGACGCTCGAGTCTCGGGTGAGCCAGCTGAGTTCCGAGAGGTCTGACCTGGTCACCTTCGTCCGCTACCTCAGCCTCCACACGCCCGACCGGCTCGAGGTGCCGGCGCCGTTCCGACGCTTCCTCGACGACGGCGCCGCCTCGGAGCCGGCCGGCGACGCGCGCGACCCACTCAACTGTGCCCTGTTCGAGGCGGGTCCGTCGCGGCCGCGCCGGGAGAGGGCCCTGTCACGCTCCAAGACGGTGGACTGCGAGTGACGCTAGGGAGGAGGGAGGGAAGGAGGGATAAAGGCAGGTTTGGTGAGAGGAGAGTATTTTGGAGTGGTGCGAGGGATGGAGAGGGGAGGCTGAGTGGAATGGAGGACTCGCGATGAGAGGGATATGAGCCGGAGCACGGGAGGGCGCTGGCGGTCTGCCGGCGCCCGGCGGCCGCGGTCGGTCTGTTTGTATGTCTGTCTGTCTGTCTGTGTATGGGGCAGCGCCGTGTGATACTGACAGCTAGTCGTGCCGGGGGGAGGGCCAGGGCGGGGTGAGGCCAGTATGTGCGCAGAGCCAATAGTCGACGACACACCTCAGCTCGCTTTCTACTGCTTCCGTCAGACATCGCTTCTTACAAAAGACGCCGTTTTGCGCGGCCAGCTGCTGGGCTGCACGTGGTTAGAGCCTATTTACTCCTTTTTTAGTGCCGAGCCTATATAATTGACATGAATCGCGTTTTACCTCGAGTATTTATTCTGTCCCGTAGAGGCGTTTTATAGTCGTAAGCGTGATAGTACAACGCTTACGCACACTCTTATATCACTCAATGCGTATGCTGCTTGCTGGCTGCTAACGTACGCTAGCATGTGCTACAAAAATCGAGAAGACGAGGGTGCGCTGAGCGCGTGCCTGCCGTCCCAACAGTCAGCCATCTATGCCTTGCCGTCTGTGCGCCCCTTGGAGCTGCGCGCGCGGGCCGGGGTGCCCGGAGGGGCCGCTGTGGGCGCTGACGAATAGATGGCGACCGCGCGCCGCTACCACCCGTCGGCCTTATGTGACCGAGCTACCATATTGTGTGTGAAATATATTAGTTCTTAAGAAAGCCGACATGTTTGTGTGTGAGAGGGTCAAATGTATGGCACGGACTCTTTTGACACAGCTTTCAATGCTTCTGGACTTTTGAACGGGTTTGAGAAATATTTGTCGGCTGTCTTACGGATTTCATCAATGCATCAAATTGTGTAAAACAAATTAATTCAGCAATAGTCAGTTCGGAAAAGGCGAGCTCAAGACAGGCATAGCAAGAAAGGCAGAACGTCATCACAAGATTCGCATGATCAACATTACTTGTTTTGTATTGAAAATGATCGGGCTTTTCCGCGCAGCACTTCTGGGAAGCATAAAACGTCACTGTTTGCCGGAGTCCGCGGAGCCGGCTGGACCACGTGAGTGGGTCCTGTCTCCGACGTCATTCGAACCGGCTGGGCACGCGCCTGACCTTGGTGCCTACTGCTGCAAGCTATTACGCCTTACGGCTTTTGGGGGAAAATTATTAACTTTATTTTCGTATCGGTGAACATTAACTCATTAGTTTTTTTCCGAGTCCAACGTGTAGAACGAGTATGAGTTGTATTAAGAGTTTAGTTGATGGTGGACCTGAGTGGCCACTGAGCGGAGCAGAGCGATTACCTGCAATCCGCATGCTCTTTCTGCATTTCAGTGCATGTGCACCATATCTCGGTAAAAGATGTGTTTTTGTACTCAGGAGGCTGGCGTCTCGTTCTTTTTCGGACCTTGGAGGCTCTCCATCTCCGGTTGGCAGCTGGTTTTATACAATTATGATGTATGCCGACGGGGGACAAACAGTTTGTCTCCCACGGGACTCCAATTCATAACGGATGGGTCGACTACCGAGATATCACGACCATCGAGCGTGATCTTTTAGGTATTTGGGTGATCTTCATGACCGTAACGTTTGAAGATAAAATCACAAGGACTCTGTGGGGTCGGCCTCGGCTTGTGCATAAGATAACGAAGAAACTGATTGAAACGGTGGTATGTTGATTGAACTTTGATGTATTTTGATAAACTCCTGCAAATGTTGATGAAGAACGAAATTCGGGAAATCTTTAGCGCCATCACGTGAACTGGAAGGTCACTTAAAAAATTCGAACTTATGAGCAATCTCTCCGCATCGCTGGACAAATTTAATCGCTGTTTATTACACAGCACAAGGATTCTATTCATACACAGACTTCCCGGTTTTCGTTTCTTTCTCTCTTTCTCTCTCTCTCTCTCTCTCTCTCTCTCTCTCTCTCTCTCTCTCTCTCTCTCTCTCTCTCTCTCTCTCTCTCTCTCTCTCTCTCTCTCTCTCTCTCTCTCTCTCTCTCTCTCTCTCTCTCTCTCTCTCTCTCTCTCTCTCTCTCTCTCTCTCTCTCTCTCTCTCTCTCTCTCTCCTCTCTCTCTCTTCCTTTCTTTTCTGTTTATTTTTATCCCGATTCCCGGCAGTGCGAAATGCAACATGTGATTTAGACGCTACAGTGTATACCTACGTCTGCGGCATATCACACAGTGGGCACTGGACGTTTAGGACAATGATAAACGTGTAAAGCTTTAGAGCGTACCATACTAATAAACAAGACAGGAATCGCGGTCAACCACCTAACGTATAAGCTAATACTTGGTCTGGAGCTGATACTGAGCTCGTTAGTCATTTGGCACCGTCTAACATGTTAACTGGGGGGGCCAAACCCCCGCAGTCATCGGCCTGCCCCCCCCCCCCCAGTCAGGGCAAAAAGTCACTACTGGGGGGGGCCGGCAATAGCCAAAAGGCAAACGAATTTTTAGGTCGAGGCGTCAGTGCACATAAAAGCAAATGTGTAAACGAAACATGGATGCAATGTGAGCACATTGATACCTAGCCGATTACTTAGGCCTGTTATCAAGTGTTTATTTTGTTTACCTGACCTTAACCATTTTTTTTTTTTTCGCTCAGCAATACGTTACATTTCGTCTTTTCAGGCGCCCAACTCCGTGTCTCGGATATTCTTTTTTATAAATTTAGTCCGAACCTTTTGAATGGAAGGATTCACAAGGACAGAGCCCCCGCTAAGCAGATCTTGTTGCGTTGGCCCTGCCCTCTACCCTCCGATCGCACAATTCCTGATCTATGGCAGAATTTAGAGCCCAAAGTTTTACGTATGCACATAGCCGCGCACGGCCGGTCCCCTCACTGACTTCGACTGGTTACGGCCTGCCACCAACCGCAACCATACCCGTCAGGAGGCTCATAAACATCAAGCGACTCTGTCGCGCTTCGAACCCGGACTGTTATAACCGGGACGCATGCCCTCACCACGCGGAGTCCAACGCTCTACCGACAAAAAATTCTCCTTTACGTATCAATCTGTTGTTTCTGTCCTCGGGGCGTCAATCTCTTGTTTTTGCCTATCGTCGTCCTCACTATGCGGCGTCCAGCTTCTGGCTGGACGGTCACCGGTGTGCGGCTAGAGTAGCTCCTAGTCGTAATGAAGCAGGATCCCGTGGTGGTCGTACGTAGGCGCAGATTGGTGGTCTGTCGCTGGATTATCTAAAGAAGTCGGCGTGGAGTCCCGGTGGGCAAATGCCAGCCAAATACCAGCCTGTAGGGTCCCAACGAGCCTCAAATTGCACTACTACACGGGGAAATCTTCATTTTTTGTTTAATTTATAGCCTCTGACAACCTTAAGGTTGTGTCGGAGATCCACGGCGATTACGACTTACGGAGAATCCACCTGAGAAGCCATCAGTTTCCAAGTTGATACGTACGCATTACACTCGTCTGAGGGGGCCCTAGTGGGAAAATACTGTCTCCACTCAGCTTGATCCTTAAAGCCTGGTATGGATCATATAAAGCCAGTGTGGGCTACCATAGAGGCCGGCGTGGGTCCAGAAGCTGGTGTTAGCCCTCAGAACTCGGCAGAGCTCAGAGTCAAGCGCTCAGTCTATGCGTGTGGGCCCCCGACATAAGGCTCGGCATGTAAATTCCTTAGACAAGGCACTGCCACTCAAAAACGCTCAACACCATGGGTCGGATGCCCTATTATTTTTTCCTTTAGTTAAAAAAAAGCATGGTGTCAGGGCTGTGATGAAAAACAAGTGGTCTAAATCCGGTGAGAAAACAGGATTTGGGGGTACCCTAGGTTTGGCTCCTTCAGGCTCTGGCCCCCCCCCAGTGAAAATTCCTTAGACGAGGCCCTGCACTGTGCAGTTGCTGTAGTTGCTAAAGCGAATGGAAGTAGGATACGGATACATTCGTCATCACTTTCCTGATACCTACTGACGTTCGGTTTAATTCGTCATTGCGGTTCACGGCCTATTGAATTAGAGGAATGATCGCCAACGAATGACGTCCGGCGGACGTATCAATTGGTGTGGAGTCGAGACGGGATCGGTTCGCCAGCTCTCTGATTCGCTCTCGGATTGGAAGCACTCAGTTGTTCCGACCCGGCCCCCTGATTGGTCAGTTCCGGTCGCGACCCCTGACCTGAGCCAAGGACTTTGCTGCCAGCCAGTGGCAGTGAGCAGACGTGTGTCTTTCCTCGAACCGAGACCGTCTCTACGCTGCACTGTAGTGAAGCGACAATAGCCGTTTTCACGACGGGCTATCTGGCGAATTTGACCAAATATGCACCAAATCTCTTTCCCAATATAGACATTCACATCATGAATTTATTTCAGTGCTTTAATCGAAAATGATATCTGATTATTTTAAAAATGAAGCATTAAGCATATGTGCAACCCGAACTTATAACTTTTAAGTTTTAAGAAACACACTGAACCTAATTTTACCAAATCGGCACCTAATCAACACCAAATGTGTACCAGATGGCCGTCGTGAAAACGGCTATAAACCACGCGTGTCCACAGTAAGCTGCAGCCGACACTGCGGCTTCCAGACGGATGGCCTGTTTGATCTCGGTGGTCGTATAGGAAGTGCGTGGTTTGCTCAGCGTGCATGCATAGAAGCTTTGCTGTTCTTTAACTGAATCGAGTTAATGTCTTACATCTACAAAAAGCACTATTCTACGAGCAATAATTGCAATCACAATTCACAGCTAAAGCGAGATTTTAGCTGATAGCCGCTAGCCGTTTGGGATTTGGAAAATGCTTTCTCTCTGACGAACAGAACCGTGTCCGTGTTTACCGTTTACGCTGCAGATTCTGCTGCAACCAAACTCAGCCCAAATATTTTGACGGGTCGGTATTTCCAGGATAAGAAACCGTGATGCATGACACTCCCTTCTGCTCCCTTACCAGCCTCTGCAATGTTTTTCGATCCGTGGGGAAGTACAAATATTGTCTTAGCAGGCTGAATTTAGACGTTCCCAAGATATCTTACAATGTTCCCGTGCTACGCTGGCTGGTGTGGCGGCCGGCCGGTCAGTATTTTCATAATAACTATATATGTATAATGTAGGCATACCGTGGGATGGCTTTTCATACTTCCGTAGAAGGGTAAAATCCGAGCTGGCCGCTGCGTACCGCTGCATAGCCTACAATTGAGTGCAGTTTGAGTGAGAGTCACTCAAACTGTAATTGAGTGACACTCAACACTCACACTCAAACTGCTATCAAGACTCAACTGCACTGAAGTAACACACTCACACTCAACTGCAATTGAGTGAGAGTCGGAGCGACTGTCTCTATCCATTCGCCCAGTGTCAGAGCCGTGCGTGCGTGCGAGGCCGGCTCGTACGGTAGCCGGGATAGGCGACCCATCCCAATCCGTCTTCGATCAAGCAACGAAATAGGCCTGCAATACCAAACGGCTGTGGCAATTTGAAAATTCGCAGCATGACATTGGGTCACGGACTCACGCCGTATTTATAATTTCCGGGAAGCCAGATTCTCGAATCAAATCTGGACTAGACTAGATGCTGTTTGCTTGCATGTGACGCTTCACCCGGTTTACATTTGCCGATTAACTAACTTTCACATTCCAGAATAACGAACACCACCAGCTCGTTTTGGTTGCCTCACCGTCCATTAGTTTATATTCATTTCAATCAAACTGAGGCGCGACCCGCAGGCATTTGACACTAATGTGTTCGGCGAAGGAA